AGAGGGGGTGAAATCGCCACCTTCTGGGACTCTTCTGAAGCTTCCCAAGCCTCAAAAGAGTCCCAGAAGGTGGTGATTTCACCCCCTCTGGTCCCATGGGAAGGCAGGGTGAGCCTCCAAAGGGTCCTGGAACACACCGGGTCCCCCCTATGGGCCCAGAGGGGGCTAGGGTGTGTTCCATAAGACGGATCTCTCCATAAGGCTCACCAAATTTTTAGGAGAAGAAAACATTAATCTTTCCCTGTTTTCTTCTCCTAAAAATTTGGTGCGTCTTATGGAGAGGTGCGTCTTATGGAGCGAAAAATACAGTATCTAACAGACATAATGCATTCTTCCTCTTTCAATATGTCAGAAGTACACCACAGGAACTTTAATAATAGTTGCTATTAAATTTCTGGATTAAAATAAAAGCTATTTATGTACCACATTTTAAGTATTCTAAACTTTTCATACATTATCTTTTTAATCTCTCTGTTTTGCTTGGCATACACAGCTGAGAATATTTCCTCAGGACAAAAAAATATAGAAGTTTCTTAAAACCAAACATATTGATTCCAAAATACTCTGTTAGAGCAAATCAAGTCCCAGGTTCTTCCAGCACTGACATAAAGAAAGTAATCAAAGGCCCAACTGAAATACTAAAAAGCCCTCCCCCCCCAAAAAAGCACTCACTCCATAATTAAAACAAAGTCTTTTCCCCAAATCAGAACTCAAAGACCAATGCAAACAGTAAAATGGTTGATTTAATACAGCTCAAGTACCTTTTGCCCTGGATCACCTGCTCCTTTAAGGCCTCTTGGTCCCTGAAGCCCAGGCATTCCTTGAGGTCCCTAGAGAAACATTAGAATAATACAGTATAGACAAGTTAGTTTCACAGAATCTAAAGGGTTATCTCCTTTAGTTTAGAGCTAATTCAGTGATACAGCTCATGTCTTGCATGGCGTGTCAACCTAAGGCCTGCATCCTATTTACTATAGACAGAGAGACATACTCTGCTTGGAGAGCTCCTGCAATTTCCGGCTTGTCATTAACTAACTTGGAGATCACCTCCACTGCTTCCAAGGGTCTTATGCTCACACAAGAAGGTATCTATTACCTCCTTGAGTGAGTCCCAGAAACGTTCCACCATGGATCCGCAATACATTTTACTTCCAGAAGTAGAAGCAACATATCTCTCCTTTCCCATCCAAACTAGTCCAAATCATTAATATTAAAAGCTTGCCAATTTATTTGGCCGATAAAACTGATAACCTTCAAAGTATTTCTTCCCTTCTCTGGAAATACATACTACTAATACTAATGCTAACACTAACTGTAATACTAGTAACAGAAGTACAGTATTTTAAAAGTGTTCTCCTTACATACCACCCCATAGTGCTTAAAGCACTCTCTAGGCAATTAACATTTTTTTAATTATGCAGGGTACGCATTGCCACTCCCCAACGAGCTGGGTACTCAGTTTAGCAACCTTGGAAGAATGGAAGGCTGAGTCAACCTAAAGCCGGCTGTCAGATCCATTGGTATCAAATGCTGGCCGTGAGCAGAGTTTTAGCTGTAATACTATAGCTTAACCACTGCACCACAAATCTCTTTACTAGCAATAGTAGGAGCTTCGAGGCACAGTGGTTAAGCCATCCTTCTGAGGTCGGTAAACTGAATGCCCAGCTTGCAGGGGTGGGGGGATGTGTAGCCTGAATAATTAATTTGTAAAGAATGCTTTAAATGCTTTGGGGTGGGATATAAGCAGCACACTTTAACAGTAGCATCATAACAAATGAAATTACTAAAAAAAAAGTCATTTCACAACTATCATATTTTGCTGTCCGAGCTGCCCAACTAGTTCTACCTGCCAAGTAGTAGATCTCACGTTCACTCTCAGATGCTTCCAGTAAAAGACTCCTGTCCACATTCCTGAAAAGTTGCTGGAAGTCATTATAGACAATGTTGTGTTTGGTAGACCAATGATCTGAATTTTAAGGCTGAGAATAGCTTATTAACTTCCCCTATCATAAAAATAAATGAAATAACACTTACTGGTGCACCTGGAAAGCCATCTCCTTTTGCTCCAGGAAGTCCAGGCAGTCCAGGTAAACCTGGAGCACCCTGAACACAAAGTGAAAAATTAATTTACACCACCAGGGACAGAGTGTGTGATTTAGGCATGTCACAAGTATGCACAGATTACATACAGAGCTCCAAAATCCTGTTGTTTTCTTGTCTGAGAGTACATGGCATGATAGAAGCAGAGACTGCAATCATGATGGCTGAGGGTTTCTGCAAACTATAGTCCAAAGAAATAACAGTTTGGGTGGAAGGCATTGCTTACTGGCCAGAATCCTACCAGGCAAAGAATTCAAAATCTGGCTATTGAAAGCTAGTTCATAAATTCAAGAATCAGAAATGCCTGCATAATCCATAGAGAATGTGGCCTGCAAATTCATCATCTCAAAGCTTCTGTCTGATCCTGATTTGGATAACTGACTACCCCAGGGGTTCTACAAAGATTTATAGACCTCCTGGGCAAGGAGAACAGATTTTATGATTTGTCATAGCTGACATTAGCCCAGTAAAGGGTTAATAACAGAATGAAACCAAATAACCAGTAATAAGCTATTTGTAAAACTCATCTGGATATCTCATTATTCATTGTTACAATAGAATAGAATTGTTACAATAATTCCATGCCACTCCTGAACCTCATTGTCTTCATTGTTCTGGATATCTCATTATTCATTGTTACAATAATTCCATGCCACTTCTGAACCTCATTGTCTTCATTGTTGCAATAATTCCATGCCACTCCAGAACTTTTTAATTCTATACAAGTTTGATTTATTTATGTCATTTCTAGGTACCATGCTTAAAAGTAGCATATCCAAAAACTATCAAAGCCTGTCTTACAGTCATGAGGAAAAAGCTGAAGACACATATACTTAAATCCAAAAGTCATACAGACATGTAAAACATGTAAAAAATTACAGAATTCTTAATTACTTCTTATGAGGCTAAAACCTTATTAAATGAATGGCCCTTTTGTTTTATTTTTCCAATTGCTTATCAAGAAGCAAACTACTTAAAATAGCATTCATAGATTTCTCATTTTACACTGTTTTGTAAAGCTTCTTCTGTACAATATATGGTTATTCTCGTGGTGCGAGGTTACACTGCTGTACTGTAGCCAAAAACTGTGCTCGTGACCCAGGATTCAATCCCAGGTAGCTGGCTCAAGCACCGTTAACCCAAAGGGATCATGAAGCTATTTTATCTTTTCCTCCTCAACAGGTCCTTCTTTAGCAGCAAAGAATTGCTGGAAAAGCATGAGAAGGAAAAGCATGAGAAGGTTACAAATGGAAGACAATAATGCCTAGGTCCAGAAATTTAAAGTTGCTTTTTCCTGTCTCTATTTCCAACCCTCTGAAGTGTTATCTCTGTTTGCAGAAGGCAATGCGAGTCACAGGTCAATGTATCTGGAGAGCACTAGGCTGGAGAAGTTAAGCATATGCTCTAGAGATTCCTGTTCAAAGAACTGGGGGTGTGGGATACAGAATTCATTTTGAACATGCCTAAATCCTCAAGTGTGTCTCAAGGATCTCTCTGGATTGCTGCCAGTGGTTGAAAATATCCAGTAGTTTCCTTCTAAATTCTCCTAATAAAGAAGGAAATCTGAGGGCAAGGGTCTCTTCTCTATTTTGACTTCCAAATTCCTGTGTAGGAAAGATCTGCCAGACACATGTTTTCACTTTGCAGGGATCCAAAGTAGGATAATAATCATTCTTCTCTGAAGAACAGAGAGCTTCCTCCCCTTATCAGAAGTAGTAGCATTCAGGCATCTTAGATCTAAAATGCACAATCAAATTGGATGGGAGAGGGTGCCATTTCAGATTGTAAGCAGGTGATTATACTTTTGAATATCCCTCCTTCCAAAAACAAAACAAAATGCAGCACATACAAAACTGGTATGTTAGGATGATTACCAATATAGCACTACGAGAGCTTAAGCAAACTTCATCTTTCCTTCTCTGGGACTAGCAACACTGCAATCTCTACATTATGTGTTTAGGAACAGAATACATACACAGGAATAGATAACAAATGGTTCACAGACCATATTTAAGAAGGTAAAGGTTCCCCTTGACAATTTTTGTCCAGTCGTGTTCGACTCTAGGGGGCGGCGCTCATCCCGCTCTTCAAGCCATAGAGCCAGCGTTTTGTCCAAAGACAATCTTTTCGTGGTCACATGGCCAGTGTGATTTAGACACGGAACGCTGTTTCCCTTCCCACCGAGATGGTACCTATTTATCTACTCGCATTTGCATGCTTTCGAACCGCTAAGTTGGCAGGAGCTGGGACAGGCGACGGGAGCTCATTCCGTCGCGTGGATTTGAACTTACGACTGCTGGTCTTCTGACCCTGCAGCACAGGCTTCTGCAGTTTAGCCCACAGCGCCACCACGTCCCTTCAGACCATATTTAAATCACAAATATTTCTGAACTGCACTGTGTTGTTCCTAAAATCCACATGTTAGGACAAATTCAGATGACCTGGATTCAGGCAATGCCATCTTAAAGGCAACGCTCAGAAAAGTTCCTTTTCTGGATTATAATTCCCAGAATCCCCCAGCCAGCATAGTTTCTCATCTTACAACTACAGATGGCAGTCGACAAGAAGTGATACTCTTCTGCGTTTGAGGATTCCTGAAATCCAAACTAGGTGCAATATTTTATTTTCCTCTTACTTAACACTCCGGATTTTGAAAAGCCAAATTTCGTGGGCAACAGGACTGAGGAGCAGTAGTCAACAGGATCTGAGCAAGCATGTAAACCATGGAAATCTCTGTAATGTAAATACTTGTATGAAGTGATAGGTTAATTCCGTACACACACATGGGCGATTTCTCCAATTCATACACCTCACAATTTTTTTAAAGAGGACAATAATTGGGAAGATAAATGTAATATCTTGTGCAGTTTAGTCTTGAACCACTGGAGCTTGTGAACAGTAGTAGGTGACAGCCTATCAGCTACTAGAAGTGAGGGGTGTGGAGAGGCATAAGAGTGGGAGAGGATGATTGACCATACAGCAGTATGCAGGCTTTTCAATAGTATCTGGCTGGCTGCCATTATGGGAAACAGGGAACTGAACTAGATGAATCTTCGGTTTGGTCTGGCACTGCTCTCCTTATACCTCAATATTGCAAAAACATTTGCATGCACCGAGTGTAAACAATCTTCAATCATTTACAATCATATTTCCATTTTTGGACACAGGGGAGCTAAAGCTCAGATTCTAAACAGTCTGAGGCAAAGGAGCTGTGTATAGCTGTGCTTTTATTACTTTAGGGCAAGGGATGTTGCTTACATGAATAATGACAAAGGAGAGCCAGGGCCAAAGTACATGACCTGAAATAACCAGAACTCTAATACATTTTTTACAGAAAGCCCAGGGGGTGTGCCAAAGAAAAGAAGAAACACTTTATATTCAGAAAAATAAATCAATATGCTAATCTACTGGAAATGTACATTTCAATTGGGATATGAAAAGTATATTTAAAGTAGTTTCCATGTTTTCAACAGTTAAAAAAGATGGGGTTTTTTTGTTTTTTGGTTTTTTTTGGACTACTGCTCCCAGAATCCCTCAGCTACTATAGCACAAGTTCTGGATATTTTCTTGACATAAAGTACTGTAACGTCTTTGGTTTCAACATAACAGCACAAGCAGCCTATGACTAGATCATTAAGAGGGTACCCTGTCCCAAAATTTTATGATGAGGTACCCCCTCTGCTGGAACATGAGCCACAATACAGGGAACTCTAGCTTAACACAATCAGTGTCTTCATGCCAACCCTCAAGAGAAGAAAAGGGGCATTCTGGTTTATGAAGTTTAATGAATGTCTAATATCCAACTATTTTTAAAATATGGAAATATTTCTACATCTTTTAGTTCAGCTCACTTGTTAATATTTTATATTTCCATTTATTAAAGCTGCATACCTTAGGTCCCACAACTGAATGTCCAGGACTTCCATCATTGCCAGGAGGCCCTGAATATCCTTGTTCTCCCTAAATGTACACCAAAACATACACATGCACATCTTTATTAAAGCATTTGTTCCCTTTCAGGCAAAAGGACCAAGTTCTGGCATTCTTTTACAAAATGTTGACCAATTGGTATTCCTGAAATGATAGTTTAGAAGAAAGCCCTTCCAAAAATGGCTATCTGTCCGTCCGTCCGTCCGTCTGTCTCTCTGTCTCTGTCTCTGTCTCTGTCTCTGTCTCTCTCTCTATCTGTGTCTGTCTGTCTGTCTGTCTGTCTGTCTTAATTTTGATAAGAAAGGAATTGAAAGCACATCTATTGTTCTTATTAATCTTACATTTATTATGCATCCAGTTTACAGTGCATGTTCTATTAGAACAGGTGAAAGTTCAGTAACAGAGCATATACTTGGCACGCAAAAGGTCCCAGGTTTAGCCTTTGACTTTTCCACATGGCTGGTTGAAACCACAGCAGCTCCAGGTTTAGCCTTTGACTTTTCCACATGGTTGAAACCACAGCAGCCACTTACTGCCTATAAGTAAGGGGCAATACTAAGACAAATTGACCCATGCTCTGACTTGGTATAACACAGATTTCTATGGTCTTATCAGCACTCCTCCTATACAAGCCCAATCTCAATATACCTTGAGAGGTCCCAGGTTTAGCCTTTGACTTTTCCACATGGCTGGTTGAAACCACAGCAGCTACTTACTGCCTATAAGTAAGGGGCAATACTAAGACAAATTGACCCATGCTCTGACTTGGTATAACACAGATTTCTATGGTCTTATCAGCACTCCTCCTATACAGTACAAGCCCAATCTCAATATACCTTGACTTATACCAGTTATTTTCTGTGATAACCACTGGCTTAACTCCAGTTGTTAGTTCCCATTAAAGTAGCCCCTCCAAATCAAAAGGAATTTGTTAAATCAATAATTACGTATCCCCCAATGGTTCCATGGATCCCCTCTAGCTGTGACTGGCAACTGGATTTAGGTCAAATAGCAAGTCATTTACCTTGGGGCCAGGTGGCCCACGAACTGAAGGGCCAGGATTACCAGTTGTACCTTTGATTCCAGGCTCACCCTGAAAAGAAAGAAGAAATTAATCATTGCGGTTGGATGTCAAATACTGTACATTTGTTTTGTATATATTAACAGCAACATATTGACAAAATGGCAACAAGTCCTTATAGGCTGGCTTCTTATTGATTCTCTAAAGGATGATGAAAAAAATATTTTGCCTAATTGGAACATGAAAGCATGATAAACAGGTATCTTACTAAACAGATATTTAATGGGTTGGATCTAGGCTTGTTTATATTTAGAGAAGATCCATGGGATGTGTGGACAATGATCTACATAAGACCCACATATTTCAGTGAGTCTAATTGAAATACGGTTACATCTTCAGTCAAATGACCACATCTGCCTTTTAATTCATAAGTCATTGAATCACAATGGTTAGAACCCTACTTATTGCTTTTTACTCTGTGGATGCAAGAGCACAGAAGACAAAATGGCTAACGGCAGCTAAATTATGTTAGGCGCATGGCCAATATGTGCCCGTTATGCCATCAATTAGCCACAACAGCTTCTACAGTTTCTCATCCATGTGTAATAAAAGGAAATACTATTCTGTACCTTAGAACGTAAGTCTAGGATCATCTCTTTTTTCTACACCAAGGCAGTCTGTCTACTTTTTTTTTTAAAAAAAATCTCCCATTATAGTTTTTTCTTTAAAAGGTTGATGGACTTTAAAATGTATTCTATACATTTATTTTTACATCCATGAGATTGACAATGTGTAGGCTGCATAATAAAATTATAAACTGCCCTGAAAGTTCTTTAAGCTTTTGCTTTATCACATTTCTGTCACAGTTTTCCACTAAAAATGAATGCTCAAAGCAGCTAGCAAATACCATTAATATAAATTAAACAATAAACCCATTAAAATAGTCACTCAGCTAAAAACAATGAACGCTATTCTTCTTTACAAATTCTAATTTGACAACCTGCATGAGGAGGTTGCATCTTTGGTGATATGAGGGTATATAGTTTATTTACTTATTTAGCGAATTATTGCATTTGTATCCTGCTTTTCCTCCATTAAGATCAAAGGAATGAACATGAATCTCTTTGTCCCCACATAATTTGCACAAGAGTGTTTTGTGGTAGGTAAAGCTGAAGGAGAGTGACTGGCCAAGTTTGCTAGTTTCGTGTTGAGCAGCATCTGGGTCTGCCAAATCCTAGTCTATCATTCTAGACCAATGGTTTCCAAGCTTGGGTAACCCAGGTGTTCTTGGACTGCAACTCCCAGAAACTCTAGCCAGCACAGCTGGTGGCGAAGGCTTCTGGGAATTGCAGTCCAAGAACATCTGGGTTACCCAAGCTTGGGAACCACTGGTCTAGAATGATGGACTAGATTTGTTGTAGACATTACATTATTCTGACACTCCACATTCATTTTTTCATATCTATGTGGCACATGAATAAAGCTTTAATATTCATGATCCTAGGAAAATCTTGTTCCTTTTCTTTATTTGGAAATCCTTAAACTAGTACCAGAGACCTCCCTGTGCAGACCGTTTCTTTTTTTTATTATTTCAACAGCTGTATGAACAGTTGGGGATTAGTTTGGAATATGTAAATCATGAGGCTCCAGATGTATTACATGAGGTGTGGGCAAACTTTGGGGTGTGAAATGCTGGAGAACAGCCCTATTTAAAAGATGAACATCTTCTCCTGGAGGTTTCCTGGAGCCCTATTTAAAAGATGAACATCTTCTCCTAGAGGTTGTTACTACTACTACTGCTGCTGCTGCTGCTGCTGCTGCTGCTGCTGCTGCTGCTGCTGCTGCTGCTACTAGAGCCAGTTGGCTACAAAAACAGTCCAGGCTTCCATTTTGCCACCCCATGCATTGTATGAATTATGTCTGATAAACTAAACACAGATGTACTTTCAGCATACAGAACCCACCCATAAATGAACTAAACATACCTTTGGCCCTGGGGGACCTGGACTACCTCTTGGTCCATCCAGTCCTTGAGTACCTTTTTGTCCTTCTTCACCCTGTTAAAAAGAAATAAAAAGCACAACAAAACCAAAATGGTATCAGTGCAGAGCTGCTTCTGTCTGATTGTACTTTATAACACCTAAACTAAAAATACAAATATTTGGCCTTAGTCTGAATGGGTTAATCAAAACTTCTATCTGTATGCATAATTCAGAACAAGGCTATGTAACAGAAAACGCAAACAGGTTTAGGGCAGGTTTGTACCAATTGTAGTATGCATAATTCAGAACAAGGCTATGTAATAGAAAATGCAAACAGGTTTAGGGCAGGTCAAGGAAGGGAAATTCTATGGACTGCATCTGAACCACAGGACAGAAGAGGGTGCAGAAAAGGTACTTTGAGCATTCAGATTTCAGAATCCCTCACCCAGTGTGGCCAGTAGGGATTGTGGCCTGTACAAACTGCAATGGGCAATTCTGGAAATTAGAGTCCAAAACTGATTTTCTGCCTAGGCTCTGGGCTAAGGTAATCCTTAGATTAAGGTATCTTTGCTCATGCAGAACTGTAGTCTGCCACAGCTGGAGAGTAACAAAACCTCCTAATATGTTGTGCTGAAAATAATTAAACTAGAGGCTAGCAACAAGCACACATCTCATTAGGTAAAAATCTCACAAAGGTTTTCTAAAAGGGTCAGTAATATTCAGAGTTTGTAACAGTTGTTTCTGAGGGAGCTTTTGTTCTGCTTGCAAAAGTTTTGTTTATTGAAGATTTTTTACTTCACCACTTCTTCTCACACACCTTAAATTAATTACTTCGCACATCTTAAATCATACCTTTGGACCAATGTCCCCTTTCCCAGGGATTCCTTCTGGGCCCCTTAGACCGGGCAGTCCTTGTTCCCCCTGATACAAATAAGGCAAGGACATTTATTTCACACAGTGCTTGTAAAACACCCTTCTATAAAACTGTCTTTTCAGGACAGACAACATAAAACTCCCTCCAAATTCACATTTCTGACAAAAAATGAAATGAAATGAAACAGGGGAAAGCCCTTCAGCTACAGTATATAAAACAGGAAGCAGTTAAAAATGTAGGCAGCTTGGCACACAATGAGGATCGAAAGGCTGGGAATTAAATAGATTTTCACCATAGATAATGATCATATCACTGGCAGAGTAAAGTAGCTGCGTCAGGTGGAGAAGTGGGGTAATAGCAGCCTTTCTATTTCTCTTGGACCACTAAACTGGCTTGCTGCCCTAGTGCGGTGGACAACGGTGTCTCACCACCATCATCATCTTAGAACTACAGAGCTGGGAGGGACCCAATGGATCATCAAGTCCAGCCCATGTCAAGGAGGCACAGTGGGGAATTGAACTCCCAGATGGCTAAGCCACTGAGCTATCCAGCAGTTCACAGTCTGGAGAGTTTCTCTTTATTTGCCACTGGGGGAAAAAAACCAAGAAAGGCATCAGGGCCTCCTGAGTAAAGCTTCCCAAAGGTAGATATCATCTGTTTCCCCCAGCACCACCTTCCTTGCTCCAGAGGTTGGGGATCACTCAGAGAAGGGCTTCTATAGATGGTCTACGGGCGTGCTTGAAGAGAGTTTCTTCAAGTAATTGGACATTTTAGAGCTGGAAAAGAGCTGAACATGGTGACCCAAATGGCTAAAGCCTTCAGTGCTTTTTTGATTGAAAAGAGATGGCCAGTGAGATGGTCATGACTTGTAAAGTTATGCATGACATAGAGAGCTTTCCCACACACACACACTTTTACAGAACAATAGCACTAGGCAGGCAGTCAACATAAGTGAAGGGTGGGACCTTCACAGGAAACTTCATCACAGACATTGTTAGACTATGTAAACCACTAGTTGTACTAATCTAGTAATACCTGATACTTTAGACATGTTTGAAGTGGGATTAGGTAAATTCAATGACGAACTGTTACTGGTCATTATGACTATACCTATTATTTCTAGTAGCACAAGCAATATACAGTGGGGTCTTGACTTGAGAACTTAATCCGTATTGGAAGGCGGTTCTCAAGTCAAAAAGTCTGTAAGTCAAGCCGTCTGTAAGTCAAGGGTCCACTGTACTTGTAACTATCACTTCCGGGGAACAAGAGGCAGAGGGTACTTTTTATCTGATGTTGGCTTAAGGGCTTCCCCCACACAGATGTTGCTCAGTGTTGGATAGACAGAACTAAAAGTTTTATGTTCTTAGTTAAGTAATATGTTACTGCCTTCACACTGAGGTTTTAGTGGCAGACATACCAATAATATCTTCTTATTTTAAAAAACCACATCAAAATATATAGGAAACAGATGTGCTGTTTCACCTTGGGAATGGCATGTTAGTCTCTTACTGCAAAGACAACTTGTAGAACTTTAAAGACTAGCATAAGCTTTCATGGACTGCAGCCCACCTTCATCAGAAGCATGGACTGTCTTCTGATCAGTCAAATACTTAATGGCATAACACGCTGGGAAGTGGATGTCGTGAAAATATATGTAAACATTGATGCTTTTTTTCATGGCACCTATTTCACAAACGGTTGTTGGGGGATGACAAGAACATCATTGCAATGGACAAGCAGATTCACATATCTATGGTATAGAAAAGTCTGGTAGAGGTAGCGTTTAATCCCCAATGCACATGTGTTCATTTAGAGGTACTATTATTATTATTGTAGAATGTTGAGTGCAGATGACTGGCATGATAAGATATGACTCTCTGAAGATCTGTGGATGAGTCTGTGGTACCCACTCAGAGAGAAGGGCTAATTGGCATGTGAAGCCAAACCTTTAGTTTTAGACAAATACTTGCATGCAAAATCAAAACCTAGTTACCTTTTTCCCCGGAATTCCCATTAATCCTGGCTTCCCAATTTCTCCAGGAAATCCTGCTTTTCCAGGCTCTCCCTATAAAAGAAGATCCAAACAAAGTTTCAATACAGACTCAAGATTCTTCCGGGAAGGACACTTTGTTATTTTTATGCTAATGCCAGAAATACGTCCTGGTGGGCTCACAGGTTAGGAGAGTATTATTTCTTTTATTCTGAAAATACTGGGTTCTAGGTCATCTTGATACATCAGCAATGCAAGAGGCACCAAAGCTTTATGGACCATATCTTGTTTACATTTTCCTACTCGGGACTTGTATCGGAGATGGGCACTGTTGGGTACCTGTCGAGACCCACACCCTGAAGCAGTTCACTGCTGAACATCACTCTCCTCACTCGTTATTCACTGCCCCTTTCCAACTATGCAAGAAAAACAGGGAGACAAAACAGCATCCTTCATGTGCCTTGTCATCTCCCTCTGTGTAGTTCGACGAACTGGGTCCAGAAAGAGAGGACAAATGAATGGGAGCTCCATTGCTAAGGGGAATACCATTAGGATAGTGAGGCAACCTCCTCAAGGAGTAGATGTTGTGGAAGCAGACAATCGCCTGGCTTTTTTTCTGTAGAGCCCCTCTGACTATTCTCCTCCCCTGAACTGCCCTTTATATGACAGAGGTTGTTATCCCATTGCCAACAAAGCAAGAGTCAACTGGTAGTTTGGAGAGTTTCTGTAAGTGGAGAAGGTGCTACTTTGTTCTTCACTTCAGGCAGCAAAATGACTTGGACCAGCCACTGAAAGAAACAAATCCAAAACATCTGCGCACAGAGCAGGCTCACTTTAGGTCCAGGTAGTCCAACACCCGGTGGTCCTACTTCTCCTTTAAGTCCTGGTGCACCCTCTTGACCCTTGAAACAATAAACAGATTTAATTACATGCTTTGTTCCATTTTCTATTAACCAACAGCCTTCTTTCTTTAATTTATGTACCGACTTCTATTATTTTATTTATAACATATCCTTGAACAGATTCCCATTACAGCTTACAAATGACATTAAAAGTATAGTGGGAAACGATAAAACAAATTGCAAGAGTGTGAGGTTTTGTTAAAGAAGGATATGCAAGAAAGTACTCAAATGTGACTCCTATGCCATTAATAGCTGCATAGACTAGATTTGGAAAAGTTATATTTTAGGACTACAATTAATAAAATCCCTGGAAAATTCTGGCTGTTTAAATCCAAAAGATCAAGTGTTCCTGCAAGAAATATGCGGACCGGCCTTCCTCAAAGTGATGTCTTTCAAATGTACTGGGATTATAACCCCCAGCACCTCCAAATCAGCATGATCTTGTTATCTAAGACAGTGGTCTTAGAGAACAACCTTGGGTCCCCAGTTGTTCTGAACTAAAACTCCCACAAGCCTTCACCACTATCTGTGCTGGCCAGGATTTCTGGGAGCTGTAGTCCAAGAATATCTGGAGACTCAAGGTTGGGAATGACTGATATAAGTCATTTGCAGAGCACTAGGTTGTGGAAAACTACAGTAGGCTGTGTGGAACTGTCAGCTACTTGACTCTGTAGGGCAGAAGTACACACATACATACACGTAATTTTGAAACATGTGCAGTTGGAGATCAATTGCATGCTGTTAATAAAAAGCAAAAGCAAGGATGTGCAGGTGCTTGTAAAAATAACATTTGAATCATTTTGATTTGGTTTAACACAATCCATTGTAGTTAGAAAAGTGGAAGTTACAAGTATCATCACTATCCACCAACTTTCTCGACTAGTATCCTGAAACTCAATTTAATTTGCAGTTTCCTGCTTTGGTGTGCCAACTGTGGGAAGAAAGGAAACACTACTAGCAAAGGTAAAACAACATTCCAAACTACAGCTACTGCCTATGGCACCCTTTTCTAGTTGCAAAGAATACTGGCCTTCCAATATATGACATTATGGTTTTTGAGGCCAGAGCAACTCAAAGACAGCTGAATGGAAGTCTGAGACTTTGGTCAGAACACAGTCTTGCAGAACTCTTAGCAATCCATCCACTGATATTTTGGATGTTTTCCACAAAGATCAAAGCTGGAATGTCATTCCAAGAAAAGGAGGGGGGAAAGAACCTGTCTTGTCTTTCTGTTACCTCCCATCAAGTTCTACCACTCAAAAATGTTTTTGTCTTTGAACAGAAAAGAATTCTTTGACAGAGCTAGGAGGGTTGGGTGTATATTATTTCTATGTGCTTCCAAGTTCTCTATTTTTGTGATTCACAAAGGACTAGAGCAAGAAGCAAATAGACATTTCATCAGAACAATTCTTATTTCCTGAGGAACTTATCCAAAACACGGGTGCAATATCAGCTTCAATTTGCTTGGACATTAAACCAGGGTTTCTGAAGCTGTTGCCCTCCAGCTGTGCTGGAGTGCAGGTCTCATCATCTGTAGCCTGTCGGGCATTCAGATTGGAAAATACTGGATTAGGCTTGTTTTTAAAAAGGCCTTCTCAGCATGGATAGTAGTGTAAGTTATACAGGGATGACATCCCGATGCTACTTCCAAGTTCTTCCTCTAAGGACCAACTCAACATGATCAGACAGTGATTTATGTTGTGCAGATGTTTGTCCCCTTCAAACATAACCGGGGAAGTTATATTTATATGCAAAAGAAGGGAGCAAAACATTTAATCCTCACACCTTTTACCGTGATACATGTGGCTACTTAGCAAGTTTCTTCCAACCTGCCTTACTTACCGAAGTAGCTGAGTACATCTGAGTATAAAATATGGCTGTGATTTTTTTACTTGTTTCCACTATGCTGCACATACATTTCTTTCATGTAAAGCAGGAGTGAGCAATTACTGTATTTTTCGCTCCATAAGACGCACCTTTCCATAAGACACACCAATTTTTTAGGAGAAGAAAACAGGAAAATATAATCTGTTTTCTTCGCTCCATAAGACGCACAGACTTTCCACCCCCCTGTTTTGTGGGGGAAAAGTGCATCTTATGGTGCGAAAAATACAGTATATCCCTCCAGATATTTATGGATTCTGTGTTGAGAGCCTACATGGTATAGTGCATATTGTATTGATCTAGAACTCAGGAGACTGGGGTTCAAATCCTCACTTGGCCATGAAAATTCACTGGGAGTGGCAACAGTAAACCACTAATTAAATGTGTAGCATAACTCAACTTATTAAGGTTGTCATAGGTCAGAAGTGATTTGATGGCACATAACCACACATTGGTTCTCTTGGCTATGCCTGAAGAGAATTATAAGCCGCCAACGTCTGTGGGAGGAGAACAGTTGCCCATTCTTATGTAAAGATGAGACACTTCTACTACTATTTTTGCTTTGCATATGAATGGCTCATGGATGTCCATGGTTGCCCCCTCACATCTAGTTTGATCTATTGCTCTAAAGCAGACCCTACCATTTGGTAAAGTGAGGGAGCCACCCCAGGCAGCAGATCTGGAGTTTCATGAAAAAAACAGGTGAATTCTGGTTATTTTATTTCTTTTTATTGTACTGTTACTGTTCAGGATGGGAAGAGGTGTTTGCGGGATTGTGTGGATTTCTGCCCCATCACCCAGAGTAGCATGGTTACCTTTGGGGACTATGAGCCTTGAATTGGGTACGTGGAATGTACCATATTCTCTTCCGACCCAGTAACAAAATGGCTTTGGCAGGCCGTGCTTGTATAGCAAAAAGCCAAGCAAAGTTCTTTTTGGTTTCTAGGCACAGGAAATTTTGATTTTTGAAGCATCTTTATATCTTTAAAAATGGCACTCAGATCCTCTATCTTTCATTCCTACACTTCCAGACAGTGCCTGTGTAAGGAGCGATAATTTCCTAATGCTTATTTTCCCACATAACACAGATGTCAACAGATAACTCTACTGTGGAAAACACCTTGTTCACAAAACCAGCCTGTAAAACATCATCCTCCATTGAATGCAAACTGCCTGCAGAACAGGCCCTTTGACGCTGAGTTTGTAACTGTCACCCAGTGCAATATATGTTTCTGCATATTTTAATAAAGAAATTTAAGGATAGTACCTTTGGTCCAGGCAGGCCCACACCTCGTGCCCCTTTCAAACCAGGCTGACCTTTCAGACCTTGAATGCCCTGAAAAACCCAAATGGTGCAGCTAATTAAGATTGTCCTCTGAGACTAATATCGCTGACAGGAATGTACAGGAAAACCATGTTACAAGTACCAATGATAAAGAAGGGAGAATAAGTCATAGATACATGTTGTTGTGAATCCCAGTACTGGCACTAAACCACTAACCTCACACTGACAATCAGAAATCTACTTTAAATTGAAGATTATTAGGAGGGGAAGCATGCTAGTATTGCCTCATCGGCCAACATGTTCATCATGCACCTTACATGGAGAATGACAGTCTGCAGAAGAGAGGATCCTACACCATGGTTGTACTTATGCACTACTGGCACTAAACCACTAACCTCACACTGACATTCAGAAATGTACTTTAAATTGAAGATTATTAGGAGGGGAGGCATGCTAGAATTGCCTCCTCGGCCAACATGTTCATCATGCACCTTACATGGAGAATGACAGTCTGCAGAAGAGAGGATCCTACACCATGGTTGTACTTATGCACAGCTAAGTATAACCTGATGTAAGTATAACCTACTAAGGTAAGTATAATCCAAGTATAATGTGAGGCGTAATTATAACCTACTAGTAATTAATTGCATTGGCAGTCTTTACCTTTGGACTACGTTTTGCAGACTTCATGGCTGCAATATCTAGCCTAATTTTTGGACTGTCCATTTTGTCTCCTTTTTCTTCTAAAAACCTCCTTGCCTGATGCAATGCTCTGGGGCACTGGAGAGCTTGCACACTTCTGTGGCATTTTGGTCAGTCCTAATAATGGCATTGCCCAACTGGATTTTGGATATCTGAAATGCTTCCCATGAAATGACATGAAAAATATATATATATATATTTTTAATGGTGCGGTCAGTCCTAATAATGGCATTGCCCAACTGGATTTTGGATATCTGAAATGCTTCCCATGAAATGACATGCAATTTTTTTTTAAATGGTGTCCCGTCAACATACATAAAACTATTTAAAATGCTATAGCTTGCCTCCAATCCAAAGGGTAACATTTCCTGATATTCCCATCAGTATACAATGATGGGTTGAGAGGCCTTTCCATTTTTAGAAAAACCCAGGGCTGGGATAGCTACCCACCTAATGGTAAAGTATGAAGGAGATTGTGCTGGCTTCAGCAAGATATGAATCAGGATGCAAATATGTAGGGGCTCAAAATGAGTCTTTAGCTATGATATCCAAACATGGAAATTCATGGGGATCAGACAATTCCAAAGGGATCAATAAATTTATCTTGGCTATGTCCTCCAGTGTTGCTCTCAAGAGGAATAAAGTATTCATAGCTCATATGTTCAGAAGTCAACAGAAATACTTAGGCAAAACCAAGAATCACCCAGATGCACATTATTTACCGGATTGCCTTGGATACTAGATCCAGGTGGTCCCATTGGGCCTGGTGGTCCATCTATACCTCGCTCTCCCTGCATAAAAAAAAAGTACTATAAATTGAAGTTTTCATCAAAGCACCATAATCAACATCTCATTCCTCTTTTTGTAACTTTGTAATGCCTTTTGCACATTCTTGATTGCATATTAATTCACAAAGTATTTGAAAAGAACATCCTTGGGGACAAGGACCATGGGACAAGAGACATTTGGGGAAATAATAAAACCAAATCAGGATGCAATGACATCGCAATTATTATGTGGTTGCTAATGACATCATAGACAGACTATCTCACGACCTAGACAGTTATCCTTTAAATATTTTCTGCATTCTTTCCCCCACCCATCCCCTACACACACAGCTCAAATTTATTCTCTACCCTTCAGTTCTTAGAAGAATTGTCCACATATGCAAGCTTCCATGCCTATGATTCAGCTTCAGGGATACAATTGACAGCAATTTGCTTTATACATTGTACCTTTTCGCCTCTGATGGAGATACCTGATGGTCCAACTGGTCCACTTGGCCCTTCAGAACCTTTTTGACCCTGAAAATATTGAACATTAATAATGATTTAAGCCCTTTTGGTCAGTTCTTAGCTACAAAAAACATACATGTAAATCTAATTACAATTCAGATATTTACAAGCATTTACTCAAAGCTATGTTTTATAGTTCCTTTTTGTTCCCCTGATTTGTTATGATGTTTTAGGAATTCATTGCTATTTCTCCTCAACATATTTTTAAAAATTACATTGTGTTACTCACAATTGTTCCTTGGACAGACTCTTTTGGTGACATATGTGTACTAAGCTAAATTTCTGCTGCAAACTCCTGCCAACTAATGAGGCACCAATCGCATTAACAAGGCGTATGGTTGTTGTACAATTGGGCATGTGCCTTATTAGAAAATCAGTATGTTCTTCAATAGTAGCAATTTGCTATTGTGACTTATGCAGTTTTATTTATGCACATGTAAATCATCAAGTGGATGCTGGCCATTTGTCTTCGTTTTTAAAAAAAAAAATCCCTTAGGGCTGATGAGAATGGCATGGAAAAATTCAGATCAACATCAATTTAAATGCCTAAAATATTATTTAAAAATAACTTTCAAAAGTAACTTGAAAATGTAATTCGTTGCACTAATACAATGATGTTACTTTAACTTTTATTCTTTCTCGGTTGAAACTGTGCTACACCTCATTACAAAAACAAAGTGGCTAGAATCCTGTTGGTATTCATGTAAAGTTTATGTAAGTTGCCATGGGTAATTGCAACTAACTGACAAGGTGACACATAATAATGGGCTCAAGCTACAGGAAGCCAGATTTAGTCTGAATATCGGGGGAAAGTTCCAAACAGAGTAGTACGATGACGGAGCGAGCCAGATTTAGGCTGAATATCGGGGAAAAGTTCCAAACTGTTAGAGTAGTATGAAGACGGAGCTAATTACAGGAGAAAATCGAACAACTGTCAGATCTGCTTTGACTTGGATTCCTGGACTGAGCAGGGGGTTGAACGCAATGGCCTTATAGGCCCCTTCCAACTCAAGTATCAATGATTCTATGATGTATCTCAGTTGTGCAATTGGGCACATGATTAGTGATTAAGAAGTGCCCTGGCACCTTGTCAGTTAGACATAATTAACAGTAGCAAACAACACAAGTCTTATGCAAACACCATTAAAAGTCTGGTCAGTAGCTCACTATAGTTATTTTACTTGAAACAAGACTTCGCAATCTGGACCCTTCCACACCTTTTGTACTATAATTCTCACTATTTCAGTTTAAACACGGTTTAAGCTCATCACACATGCTATGATAAAAGAGTTTTTAAAATCATTAAGGAACTTTATTGCTCATAATTCAAGCCCATCCTTTGTCACTGGGCAGAGTGAATCAGCTGCCTCAGGCAACAGATTTTTGAGCATCACAAAAGAGCAGCAAATGGTTAGTTAGTTTCTTGCTCTATTTTTACTGCCAGAGATTGGAAGATTGTGTTATTTTGTGCCTCTAGTGCCAAAATAACTTGGCTGGTTTTTGGTACTGCATAAAGTGGGCAGGCTAATTCGATCAGCAAAATGTCTCTAGTCTCTCCTGCATTGATCAGTCAATGTTATGCAAGAAAAGCCAGGCTGTGTAGCTTTGGGCAAACTACCCGGTCCCAGGACACCCTCAGAAGAAGTGAAGGGCAGCCCCATCTGAGTACTTTATACCTAGAAAACTACGGAAATGATCATCGTAGGTCAAAATCAGCTTGACGGCACACCATCATCATGTTGTTTCAGCATCTCCTTACTTTTCATAGCATTCAGATTGACCCTACTTCTACTCCTAAATATCCAGGTGCAGGATTGATACAGCCATTGACAACTCAGTTCTCCACCAAAATCACAAAACAGCTATTTAAAAAACTAAATCTCATTTTGCTTGGTAACCACAGAGTTTCTTTGATCACACAAATGTTCTGTGAGCCTTCTTTTGGAACATTATATCCCTAATATCAAAATAAATAGATGGACTGAAGGAACCATACAATAACGCTGGACCTGGAGGATGGGATAGGGTGAGTTGGAATTTAATTACATTCCAAAGGTTTTGGATCTTGTTTACTTTTTTTCCCTTTTGTTTTGATAGAGTTCACTCATCTAAAGATTTGTATATTGCATGCGGAAGGAGAGAAATCATGTAGAAAAACAAGTGAGATATCTCAAACCACAGGAGGTTGTGAATCTTCCAGTACATATCTTCTAATACAGGATATATGTGGGAACATAACAAAAACATTGCTCTAATTTCCACAATTAATCACTGTTGTAATATTTTTAAACTTGTTTGGTTACTCAGTAAGTTCACTTATTTTATTTCCAGAAGCCGTTTGATGGTCCATGAAGACACAAGTGTCTAGAGAGATTCATTAGAACATTCCTTAGTGTTAGAACATTCCAACATGGAATCATGAATGAAACTGCTTTTAAAGTTAAGTGAAATGTTGTGTGGAATGGAGACTCTGAGAAAATAAGGCCCCTTTGAAAGTATGAGAACTAGTGCTGCTGAGGACAGATGTGTCCCCATTGGTCCCATCAAAACTACTGAAAGAAACCACTTCAGAAAGGAAGCGGAGTCTGAGAAATGCCACACAGAGACTTATAAAGCCTATTTATGCAAGTGATTAAAGAGCTTAGCAGTGTTATCTTCTGGACTACAACTCCCAGAATCCCCTATCCATCATGGTCAGTGGAACAGCTAGAAATTCATTCAATTATACAACAGAAAGGTAAAAGATTAAGTAAACTGGAAATCATCTGCTAAGGACCTGCTCAAGACATGGGGCCCTTTTGCCATGACAAGTTCCAGAATATCCAGGGCCTACCAACACATTTTGTTTCCAGAGGTGGAAAATCCCATGAATATGGCAGTAAAAGTACAACAACAACAAACTAATTTTTGCCCTTTCATGACATCCCAAGCTTGCTGCCAGAAGCAACAGGCAACTGCCTCAATCTGCCTGACAGTAGGAACGGTCTTTCTTCTATTTCTTTTAATTTCAATGTTTACCTTCTGTCCTGGGAGTCCTTCTCCTGGTGGACCCCGTTCACCTTGCACTCCCTCAGGACCACGCGGCCCCTGAGTTTGAAAGGGAGAAAAAAAAACTCACAATGTTTAGAGGCTGTGACACAAGGCATACAGGCTCCAACTCATGCACAGAGCTCTTTATGCAGGCTGAAACAGCTCTCTATGTCCTTCAATGTTGTAGAACATACTATCTGGACAGCTACATGTGCAAAGAATCTCTCCTGACATTGGAGAGAGTGAGGTTGCTGCTGCTGGCTATGGACCTTTATGTTTTCAGTGAAGCACATGTGTGCATGCCAGAGTCTTGGATTGGAAGCAAGAATGTATGCTCTGCATTAGATTTTCACAATTAGGTGTCCTCCCAATGGCTTTGAACTGCAACTCCCATAGGCCGCAGCCTATATAGCAAGGTAGCATGAAGGATGGTAATTGTAATCCAATACCATCTGGAGGACACAACCATAAGACTACGGAACCTATCTTAAATTCTTAAATTATGTCACCAGTACCACCATAAAGCAAAAACTGTACATCCCTTAAGAGGGACAACCTTCAGCAGCAGAACACAATTGCTCCTGCTTTTATTATGTTTTCCCCTTCTAATAGAGAAAACTGTTCACAAGTGGTTAAAGCGTATACTGTATATGCATGCAAAACAAATTACCCAGAGGAACAAAATGCATAGTCATGCCATCACATAACAATGTCTATATGGACATAGGTGTGAACTACAAAAAGCTGAATTTCTCAGATAATTACTATGCCAGAGAAACAGAACTCCCTCCATCACCCTGAAAAATACATTGCCATTTTTTGCTGTTTACATGCTGTGTGTCTTTAAAACGTTTAATGTTTAGCATTAAACAGCATAAAGACAAAAAGAGAGGAGGAAATAGCTTATGATGTATCATAAACTTTGGCCAGATCACACAATTCAAAGGGACACAATATGAATTTATTGCACCAGTAGAAATGAATAGAAACAGATACGAGAGCTCCATATCTCCAGTCTAATGGATATATAAAACACCTGGATTGGGCCAATAATTTTGGTGTAATTGACTAAGAAGGTGTTTTGCACACATTGTATTGAAAAGATCTGATTTATTTGAATGATATTTACAGATGATAAATTTTCAATGACTGTGTGGTTTCTTTCTCACTAACATGCAGAAACTCTTTAACAGGAGCATCAACATTATTTTCAGTTGGCTATATCTGACATATATTTTTCGTATAGGAGACCAAAATGTTAAAGGTTACCTCAATTCTTCCTGTTTGTGTTATTAACCCTATTGGGAATTCTTCCAAAATTAAAAGAAGATTTCTTTTTAGTTTACACCGCTTGGAAAGTTATTTTAAAAAGTAAGTAGTTATAGGTACAATTTCAAAGTCTCCCAAAACACAATAGTTACAATTATGGCTGTCATTTAAAAAACTAATTCCACTTTCTCACTATTCAAAAGTAATTAAACTAATTACCCTTTGTTATTTTGTGGAAAATAATGCTACTCGCCTGTGGTACAAACAGGCATGAATAGTGAAGCTACACAATTGCTGTAACTGTGAAATGTTACAGCTATATCACAAAGGAGTAAAATTACCCCTCATTACATTATTATTGTGATGTAATTTAGGCTCAAAATTGCACATTACAGAGAGCATGTAATTAGGAGAAAGGATGCCTTAAGTGCTGTAAGTTTCTTAATTATCACAGCAGATATTTTGACACTCCCTATTGTTTGCAAATTAGCTTGCTTTGTCAAAATTGCACATTACAGAGAGCATGTAATGAGGAGAAAGGATGGCTTAAGTGCTGTAAGTTTCTTGATTATCACAGCAGATATTTCGACACTTCCTATTGTTTTGCAAATTAGCTTGCTTTGGATTTCTGGATGCAAACACAAACTTCATTAGTAAGTCAGATTGATGACCAGGGCCAGTTGCAGGTAATATATATCTCCCACCAACAGCTTCAATAGCTGCAGTTCCATTTCCATGCTCAGATCAAAGAGTTTTCATTATCTATGAAACACTTTACAACTTGGGTCTAGGTTCTCTGAAGGACCATATCCTCTCATATAAACTTGCAGGATCTGTGGGAGAAGCCCATTCAATGGCCCCTCCACCATCAGAAGCTCATGTAAATCCTCTCATATAAACTTGCAGGATCTGTGAGAGCATTCAATGGCCCTCCACCATCAGAGACTCATGTAGTAGGAAATCAAGGGAGGACCTGCATGGTGGCTACACACAGACTCTGTAATTCCTTGCCAAGAAAAATTTGCCTCTCAGTGTTCTCCTGTCAGTGGCAGGCAAATAGCTTTTTATTTAAGCACGCTTTTAGCAACTAAAGAGTCCAGCTGATGCACTGGTTTTCTTTGTTTTAAGGACAATTTTGATCCCTATTTTTAATTGATTTTAAAGAGTTTTAATTTTAATTGCCTTTTTAAAAATACAATTGCATTCTATTTTAATGTTTTGGATGTTGATGTACTTTAATCAACTTCTGTTTTAAACTGTTCTGTATGCTGCTTTGAGTTCCAATTCTGGGAGACAGTTTGCATATAAATGAAATGAAACTAAACAAAATGAACGAATCTGATTTTCAGACTTCAAGGCCTGCTGAAATTACATCTCTGAAATGCTGGTGTGATTTCAGTGAAAAGGACCTTATGTGTAATAAATAGGGGTTTTTTGTAATGCTAGTGTTATGTTTTAGTTTTTACAGAAATAAATTGATTACATTGATTTGTTTTGGCTGGAATCCTATTGCAAAACTATAAACCGGGAACTGCATAACTGCCATGCACAATCATTCTGACTGACTGTCACTCGCTTGGACATGCCTGAGTCATGCACTCAGTTGCATGCCCATGCATGTGACAGTCAGAATTAAAAAAAAACACAGAAAAAACCCTTTACATAATTTATCTTGGGCACATGACATTTCACAATACAGTTTTGGCCATCATTTGTTATGTGTTATTCTAAGCTCTCTTATCATCTACAGTGCAAATGGCAGATGCCCAGCAGGTACAGAGTAAATTAATGAACAATTCCACTGTTATTCCACCCATCCTAAAACTCTTAACAATGTCCCGTCTTTTCCAGAACAAAGCCAGTTTACTTACCGTTAAGCCTGGCTCACCAATGCCAATTGGTCCTGGAAGTCCAATTCTTCCTTCCTGGCCCCTATCACCCTTATAAGAAAAGAGAGAGAGAAAGGGAAGGAACTATGTTTGCTGATATTTTAAATTCATTTTCTAAGAGCAATAAAGGAATAAGTCAAGATATACCATATTTTTCCATGTATGACCTCCAATGATGTATAAGATGACCCCCAATTTTGACCCTTGCTGGAGGTGGAGGAGCAGTCAATGGGCAGCCATTATCCCCTCTAGTTTAATATTGAGCAGACCAACCATTGAATTTTCAACAACACTGCCAATGGGACAGTATATTCCACTATATGTGAAGGTAGATAGCTAGTTTCCAAAGCACAGGACAGGCTGCATGGAACAGAGCTTTCTGTTCTGACACCTCGCTGCCATTTTCCAGCATCTAGTACTTGAGGCAGCCACCTCACTGTGATGAATGGTAGGGCTGGCCAGATCTTCAATGTCTTCAGCATTCAAACAGTAATAATTCCATGCACAGTTACAGTGCTGGAGTCATTGTAATCACACCTGTTGTCATCTCTTCTGTAAGTATAGCATCAACAGGCTGAAAATTAAGAGGTGTGCAGATTTGTGCTTCTAGACTACAACTCCCAGAATTCCATAGGGATTCCTCTAGAGCATATCTAGAGGCTCTCTGCATTGGTTGACCATAGCTAATAATGAAGTAAAGTCAGCTCTTGTGCAGTACAGTGGCACCATTTATACCTCGTGGGAACCAATATAGCTGCCGAAGCAACTGCTTTAGTGTACAGCATAGATATTTATAGGCAAAATGCCCAACATTAGTTCCTTAACTGGGCCACCATGACTGCCATGTATTGGCCAAGGACATTGCCGCTTGAACTTTAATATTATTGGCGTTGGTATCTTCCCCATTGTACAATATATGATAGGTGTATCTGTGAGCAATCTTATTTATTCATGGGTTACACAGAAGAGTTCCTCTCACTACTCAGTCACACTGCCTTCTCTGCCTGGATCCAGGAGGTTAGTGCATAATGTTTGGGAAATGCCTCCTGAGACCCGTGCCTTTCCCTAGCATACTCCGAGTCCCTTACCCCTGGGTGGTCAGGGAAAATGCAGACTCTAGCAGGTTGTTGCTCCTAGTTGCAAACTAATCCTGCACAGAACTTAACATAACCCAAAACATCTCATTCCTCAGAGACTGGGAAAGTACCTTCAACATCTTTGTAGCCATCTAAATAAAAATGTAGGTAAAATTTTATTGTTTTGTTACGAAGGAAAAAGTAGCATAGCATGGCATAAAGTTCCAATAATTTCAGCAGTGATTACAAAAGCCATCATCAAGTAACATAAGCAGAATTTATAGAGCTCAAGGCATGATGAAGATGTTCCCAAAGAAACAATGAAAACTAACTCTCTAAGCTATACTCACAGACACGTACAGAGTTCTTCATAGCAGGTAGCATAATAGCATAGCGTGAACATGCTAAGTCATGATGACCAATCCATGATAATGATTCAAGATGGAGCGTGTCTTTGCGCTTTCTCAATTCAATCCCATCATCCCATTGACCACAGGCCCACAAACCAACCAATCATTTAATTGGCCCTAGCTGTACCATCCAAGTTGCTTAATTGGCTTTGACTTTAGATGCAAGGATTGTTCAAGGTCAGGACAGTCTGAGTTCTCCCTTATCTGGAGACATAGGCGCAATGAGTTCCACATTCTCAAAACAAACAAACCCAGCTGGTGCATTTCACAGTGTTTCAAGACTTGATATTAACCCTCTACTTGCTTTTTTAGACTTTACAGACTTGATGTCAACTCCATAGACCATAATTCCCTCACAGTATCATTCATGTCTTTGACTGGAAGTAGAATTGATTTTTCCATCAACAACAATTGCTACTGTACAGCTATTTCCACATTGCTCTCAGCTTTCCAAGAAGCAGGGATTTAGAGTAATACCATATAAGCAATCTGGCACTGAATGGGATCTAAACTCACTAGGACAAATATACTATTGAGGTACATCCTATACGTACTTTACCTTAGGTCCAGGATATCCAATTCCAGGAACTCCAGCAGGGCCGTAAGGTCCAGATGGGCCTGGTTCTCCCTTAAAATAAGCAGAATTAAACATATGAGTTAATACAGTAGAGAACGTTAATAATTTGGACAAATTGATGGCCTCAAATATTCAGGTTATTCAATTTTATTTGTCACATATGGGTGGAAACTTTATCCCTCCCCAGATATTTGGAACTGAAATTCCTACAGTCTCTTAGCATTCATTATGCTGCTTGCACTTCTGGGTGATGAATTCCAAAACTTCTGGGAAACCAAAAGTCTCACACCTCTGATCCAGCAATTTTTAATATATATATTTGACACAAAGTCTTTCATTGTCTCAATAATCAAGAAATTTAACAGGTGGAAGTTGACTTTGATTCTTAGAATGCTTAAGCACAAATTAATCCGCAGATATTTGACTTGAGTATTATTATTAATATTATGAGACAATCCAGTGCACACAGGAATTTGATTCCAAACTTAAGAGCAGGTCTACTGACATCAATGAGACAGTAAGTCTTGATCAGCCAAAATCCCATTGATTTTAATGTGTCTACTCTAAGGATCCAACTCTCAACTTATTTTTAAAGACTGCATTCATAGATTTCCTATCATCATGGATGTGTTTCATTTCTTTTCTTTTTTTAAATCTAGACTTCGTGGTTTCTAACAGACTTCAACTTTATCTTCATTATTACAACTACAGATCAAATTTCTAACAGAAAGGTATATGGGTAAGGCCCCTATCTGCTGAAATCTTGGAAACAATGATAGCTGCACTGTTAAAATCAATTTAAATACCATATTATGATACAGTATTTCACAGGAGGGGAATTTTCAGTGGGGATAAGCCCTTATGCTTCATGAGAGATTGTATAGAATTGTAACTTTTATCATCAAGACTTAAATTCAAACAGTGAGTAAGGGCTGTATTACAGGTGATAGAAAGTGGTGTGTGAAAGTGTTCTTACAATATTTGTGAGACATGCATATATTGCTTCTTCTATGACCACAAATATGGTGTGCTTTCTTGTATAGGCCATAATCTGAGAAAAACACTATCATTTGACAAAAGAGATCATTTTCAAACAATATTCAGTCTCCCACACTAACCAGACAATTGCTTCTAAGACACCTGTGTGTACTAAGTATGGAGGCAATAGACCTCTTCCACAGTTGCCCCACGGACTGGAGCTCCTATGCAACCAACTGATTATTTAATTGATTGATTTAATACTCCTCCTTTCTCCTTTGCAGGAAACAAGGTAGCTTACAACATGAGCTTAAAACACAGCTGCAGCAAAAAATACCAACAGCACAAAAATTCTCTCTCACGCACAAATCACAATATTTAAACACTAAATAAATCACCAGAGTAAAACAAGCACTAAATTTAAAACAACAACAATAATGAATCTACCATTAATCACCTAGCTTTCATTAATACATCCTCAACTAGTTTCATGACAATGTCATCATTTTCATGGTTCTGTCTGTGGTTACTATAGATTCTTCATAGCAGGCAAAGTTAAGATTAAAACTATACTTGATTCTCCCTACAAATTATGTTTTCCCGGCATTCTGGATCATCAGTTCTCCTCGTGACTCTTGATGTATTTAAACAGCAGGTGTTCTGACTTACTATCATTTTCCCATTCCAGGAAATTTAACTTCTCACTGGGATGCTTTTTAAGCATAGGTTTTTAGTTTTCGCATTTCAGCAAAGCACAAGGGCAGAGGATCCTTATTACTGTTTCTGCTTTAGCTTTGATGATGATGATGATGATACTACTACTACTACTACTACTACTACTACTACTACTACTACTACTACTAATAATAATAATAATGATAATAATAATAATAATAATAATAATAATAATAATAATAATAATAATAATAA